ATTTTCATTAATTTGATAGTATTGAAGAAATGACTCACTTGTAGCAAGAGTAAAATAAAAAGATGAGAGAAGTTTAATGGAGTAGTCTAGCCATCCATGGTTTGACTATACTTCCTCAAAATAAAAACCCAAGGTGACACACTGAATTTCAACATCTAGCCATCCATGCATAAGAGTAGTCTTGGTAGAGAAGTATATATTGCAAAACATTATCCATCACTGCCACTACTTCACTCATGTAAACATGCTATCTAAGAGGTGTGCAACGTGACATGGAGATCGGATAAAGCACCCAATGAAAGCACTATTCAAGGTTAAGAACATAACTCTTACAAAATAGAAACAACCTTCCAATGAAGGTTGTATTGTCTATCTACTCAATACATTTCTACATCACATGAATACTAAAATTGAGGGCATAGTCATCCATCTATTGCCCCATTCACCACAAGAGATCACGAAACAGAATAGAAAACCAAAACCAAACCATGGACACAATAAAGCATTCAAAAGAGAGGTAACGAGGAGCAGATTAATTCAAAAGTCTGCTAGATCGATGCAAAGGTCAAATCCTATACTTGGCAGAAGTTAATTCAGAAAACGGAGCAGATTTCATCACATTGAAACAAATCAATCGGAAACGAGAATGCAAATCAGACTGACCGCTGTCGCCGATGAGGAGGAGCTTTATGAGGTAATCGTAGTCGGCTCGAGCTCTCGCCGGAGGTGCGGCCATCGAGAAAACGATCGCTTCACAATCTCAAAAAAGCCCCAAATCCTTTGTATCGATAACCAAACGCCTACTTTCACTCAGCCTCTATACACACACACACATACATACATACATATACACACAGAAAATCACCAAGTTAGCAAACACCTACAAATACATAGGGGAGAAAACAGGTCAGTTTTCAGCTTCGAGAGAGAAAAAGAAGTGTGGATTTACCGGAATAGGAGACACAGCGTGATCTGTTCCCCCGTATGGCGATGGCTATGGTGCGCACAAGTCCCTCTTCTCCTCCTTGGTTTTTTACTTTAGCGTACGCCGAGTTCTGCCCTCGCGCACGTTAGCAGCAAGAGAGAGAGAGAGGGGTTGGGATATTTGCGGTTCTCACGCGCTCGCAGAGAAGCGTCGCGTTGCGTTGGGTGCGTTTTATTGGAGCGGCAGTGCGCTGTAGTACAAAGTCATATTCCCTTGGCTGAATTCTTCTTTTTTTTTTTTTTAATAATTTGTACAAAGATCCTCGCCTCGTTGGCTAAGTACAACTGTCAGATGATAATTGCTAAAAATATGGGTTTAGAAAAACAACAACATAAATTATTGTATTCCTCGACAAAAAACTAATTATTTCCATTTCCTAATATAAAATCAAGGGTTAATAATTGATGGACATATTAGAGACGGGCTCAGAATAGATCAACTTGGAGAGGACTTGACGCGACATGAAAGGCCAAGGGCGACCCCGGCACGGGTCGACCTCGGTCAAGATGGACCCCAGCTAAGGTCGAGGCCGAGGTTGATCCAAGGTCGGGGGCTTGTAGCGGAAGACGACTTCGGTGGAGGTGTCCTAGGCCTCGAGTGTGCACGTGAACCCGGTTAAAGGTGATCCAACCCCCCACCCTATTCTCATGGGGCGGTTAGATGGGAGCTTGGTATAAAAATAGGCATTCTTGGATCTTGTTTAGGACATCCAACATCTTATCTACATACTAGTCTTTTCTATGCGCGATGCGCAAAAATATATGCCCAATATTTATATTTTTAAAAATAACTAACAAATTTTTACTAATTATAATCTAAGTGAAATAAAATTTATTTATTATATTAATTTAATATATAATGTTTTACAAATATTGTTATAATTAAAGAATATAAGAAAAGATGCGGTAGATGCAAGTGTATGGTAAAAGTAATGTAAAAGATAACGGAAGTTATAACGGGGTAAGGATATTTTTGTCCAAAAAATTATATAGTACAACTCTAAAAGTACAATGTACAAAATGTTTAGCATTAAAAACATGGACATAAATGAGGGGTATAACTTTGATTGAGACTTATTATGTTTTTAGATTACATTTTTCTTGTAATTGTTCTACAGACTATTATCAATACAAGAATTGTCTCCGCAACATATAATACTTGTCTTTTTCCATTTTATTATTTATTCCTTATTTATCGGGTTTAGTAATTCGAGCTACCCCAGATTAATTAAATCCATCAATAATAATATAAATAAATTATAATTACAAGTTACTTCTAAAAAAATCTATTATGACATTGTAACATCAATCTGAAATTATACAAAAATTCTGGCATTATATATATATATATATATATATATATATATATATATATATATATATATGTATGTATGTATGTATGTATGTATGTATTTTCTTCTCCACAAGGTTGAATCTTCAACCTCAAAGGCCTCACATCCTGACCCGACAGAGTATTTGGAGATATAAATCACGGTGACTCAATGACTCAGCAGACAGAATCAAATGTCGGTGCGCACAAGAATCTATTCACTTTAAACATAATCATCATAATTCCGCTGAATTTTGTAATTGATATTATAGTGTTGTGCATGTGGATGCATTATAATTGCTTCTTCAATAATTGGATACTTTTTCATCACATGCGAGGTGAGGTTAATTACAAAGAAGAAGAATATTGAGAGATAGTATTGTCAGCTCCATCAGCACCAGCATTGGAAGCTCAATTCAACTTGGAGCTGATCAATAAGCTTGGCATATTCGGTATATAATTATTGACACATGATTGGTGCATTATTTTCAATAATAATATGATAATAAAATGCGAAAAAAAAAAAAAAAAGAGTAAATTATTGATCACTTTTGATGCATCATGCTTGTATTTTCTATTTTACTTTTACTTGATTGTTTTATGTTGAAAGGGATGATGTTTTAATGTGCATAAAATTAACAAGTAATACATTTGTGATAGTGTGTGACATGCAACTTACTAGTACTAGAATAAGTTGCAAATTTAATAACACACTTATAAGAAAAATATCATATTTTTCAGTCCCTCAATTATTGACATGAGCATTATTAATTCTATAAACTTTCACGGGATGGTAGGTTTGACAAATTTAGTTCCTCAACTTGTTAATAACAATGTTAATGATCTAATATTGCAAATTGCAACTTTTTTTTCTCTATATTTACTAATATGCACAACATATATGCAATACAAATGTGATCAATTTTAATGGTCTCCAATAGTAAGGGATAAAAACTACCACCTTATGAAAAAATTGTTGGAAAATATGGGAGGCTAGGAATGAAAAAATATGAAATCACAAAATACTTACTGCATCCTACATGTGTCAATCTGCAAGCACTTATCTATTTGAATGGTCTAATGCAAATTTTACTATTAACTCCACTGCCAGGGTCCCAGGTTACAATGAAGCTTGGACCAGACCTCTTCCGGGCATGCACAAACTCAATGTTGACGCTACACTGGATGCTGCTAATAGAAAGATGGGCTTCGGATTTATTCTTCGTGACTCCACTGGTTCGCTGGTTGCAGCTCGGCGTCTCCCATGGTTTTTTGTTTTCAAGCCGAATGAAGCTGAAGCAATAGGAGTTCGTGAAGCATTGAAGTGGATCAAGAGCTTAAGCATCAACAATCTGCAGTTAGAAAGTGACTGCTTCCAAGTTATCAACGGCTTATCCCATGCACATGATTTATTTTCTTCTTTTGACTTAATTATTAATGATGTTAGGAAAATAGCTTAAAGTTTTAGTAACTTATGCTTTTTGTTTGCAAAGCGGTCTGCGAACAGGGTTACTCATTTGCTAGCTCGAAAAGTCCTGTCTATGCCTAACTGTTCGGACTGTTCGTTGTCTCCTTTTCCTTCCATTGCTCAGGCTTTAAGCATAGACCTTTCTTAATATAACTTTCGTTCTTTTGTTTCAAAAAAAAAAAAGTTAATATTACTCACATTTAGAGTTGATGGACTAAATTTTTATTTCATATAAATATAAAGTTGAAAACCCTATTATTCTTTTTTTTTTTTTTTGAAGCACTATTATTCTTTATATAGTGTGTGTGAGAGAGAGAGAGAGAGGATTAAATATTAAAAAAAAAAAGTACACTATAATAATAATAATATAATAATAATAATAATAATTATTATTATAATAATAATAATAATAATAATAATAATAATAATAACACTTTTAAAACCATGAATTATTTAGCATATTTCTCATATTTAAAGTTATCTAAAACTAGTAAAAGTAATTGGAAAAAGTAATCCAACATGCATAACTTAGTTTTCATATACTAACAGTACATTTCGATTCATTTATTGCAACACCAATTGTAGTTTTTATTGAGTTTTTTTAGAGAAAAAACTGGTTTCATGGTTACAAATTAATGAGAACACTAGGGTTGTTTATCAAAGTGAAAAAATGGAAGATTTTCATATATATATATATATATATATATAGAAGTGAAAAAATGAAAAATTTGTTTACTAAATTTAATTTTCCAACCATAATTCTATCTCCATTCTTCCATTTTTCTAGGAAATTGCAGAATCCAAAATCAACATTCTCTATTTGAAGAAACGGAAATATATGGATGAATAAATGCTTTTGGGCGAACAATGCTTGAGGTTGAAGGATCGATACTTGGTTGGGGTTGTTGGGCGCAAGTTTTCCCTCTTCCTTTCATCATGTCATCACATTACATTGTAGTTGACTTTTTCCTCATCGCGTCCTCTGAGTGGACAATGAGACGCAATTGCACATCTCACTGTTTTTTTTTTTTTTTTTAAATTCCTGCAAAAACCAGTCTCTTGCAGAAGAAAAATACCCTAAAAAATCAGTCTTCCCATTAGCCAAAAAACTAACCCATCATTTTTTTTCATTTGTAAAAACCTCCCAAAAACCACAATTGGGGATACTCTGGGTGTGATAGTTGATGATGAGATGAACGTTAGGGCCCATAAAAAAACTTGAAGAAAAAACCTCAATGAAACCTTGTCAATTAAACATTGGTTACAACAACTTGACTAACTTTAGTTTTATGTGCGACAGTTAGGCAATGACACATGCACGGCTTTGTCTATGTGTACATATGCTTAATTGTAATAATATTATACCATGCTCCTAAAAAGAATATAATTTAGAAATAGTAATAACTGGGCAGAAAAAATGATTAAAAAAGAAAAAGGCAAAAAAACGAAGTTAATGCTTGAGGCATATACCGAGAAGATCCTGTGTCCACCAACCAAGTCCCATTCCTTAAAAGTGAAGTGAACCCTCAGCTCTGTGTATTCCCATCACCTTCCTCCATTTCTTTTCTCTCTTCCAGTTCCACTGCAGCTTTCTTTGCTTACACGGTCGAGTTCCAATGGAGGAAAAGGATGGCAATCCTTATTGTCTGCGTGGTACGAGGATTAGCAAGAGTGTACCTGTGAAGCAACCAAGCTGACTAGCTAATTAACTTGGGCAACTTTCGATCCTTTGGCAATGCATTTACACTGAGATTTCATGTTTATTATATTATGGACTGTTATTTTATTGTCAGTTTTTTCTTCTTCTTCTTCTTCTTAAAGCTTTGTGTATCACTATGATGATGAATTCCAAATTTAGATTCTGTTGAGTTTTCCAGAATAGCAAAAGCATGGCTGTAAGATAGCTATATTGATTTTACCTGAAGAATAAATTCATTGTATTATCTGAATATTGATAACAAGATGTAGTAGGCCTAGCAAAATCATTCAAGGATTTCAAGCAGTACCTTTCAGAAGGTACCCTCATCATCATTGTCATCAGCCAGGTTGAAGTCATCTTCATCGTCATCGAAATCAATATTCTGAATATAGTCATCACCATCGCTAGCCTCATCCTCATCCTCTTCAACATTCTCATTTTCTTCCTCATCTTCTTCACCTTCATTTGTTTTCTTTTCATCCTGGCCCTTGGACTTCTGTTCAAGCTTCTCAAAGAGATCCAATTTTTGCAGATCTTTTTCTTGATTCCAGCGAACCCTTTTCGCAGCATGCCTCCCTGCCCTTTCACCTTTAGCTAATTCACCGGGGAAATAGGCAGGGTCCACTGTAATGAAATGCGAAATTGGGAGTCTTTTCTTGGCTTTATCCGAGTTCCTGTCTGAAAACCTTTCTATATCCATACTTTTTGTCTTCTTTGAATTATCACTTTCATCTCCAAGATAGTAAGGCGAGGAATTCCAGTACTTCTGCAACTTCGTATACCAAACTGCTAAAGATAATCTTTCAGTCACATTTGATGCATTACCCAAATCTTGATCATTGATTGTTGGAAATAGTTCAAATGGTTCCTGCTTAGCTATTCTAAAGCCACCGCCAAACCCACCACGTCCTCGTCCTCTCCCTCTAAATGCCATTTGAAATTCTAAACACAGAAGAGCTTCAGAGTAAGAATTAGTGAGCTTAAAGCTTCTTATTTGCTATGGTTTCTTTAGGGAAAATCAGGGGGTGATCCCAAAGTTGAGCAATAGAGGTTCCTACTCAAGTGAATATTTCAAATGCACTATCAAATAGTAAAGTTCAGCAAATAAGCATCTTCCATATATGGTTAGATAAATCTTTAAAAACATCTCAAAATCTATCCCTGGAAACGCATCATAACTAGAGTAACATCATTGTACCTAATAACTAAGCACACAACCATTCTGTTAATTAGCATAAATTCACACCATCAGTAACAGGCTCCATGCACAAAAATTAAGCGTAAAACAGTGATTTTTGCAACATATTTATTACCAAAATATAGGATCAATTCTACAATTATCTGGTGTGCAAATAACAAATTAGTGTAATAAACACAATACACTATGCACAATTCAACCAGGGAGATAGATTTCACCTTTGAGTCTTTGAGAATGAAATCAGGTGACGCTGCCTATCACCACTCGCCAGAAACCAAGAACGCCGAGCGGGAGAGAGAGAGAGAGGAAGATGTCGCGGATATCGCCGTAGGTGCCGCACGTTGTGTTGTTGTCTGTCACGGACCTCGCAGAATCCGAGAGGTGCGTAGCCTGGAATCTGGAGCGGGAAGAGTGCGTTGTCCTTCCCAGAAAGCAGCAGAAACAAAGAAAATCTGAAATGGAAGAATGGCTGCTGCGTTGTTGTCCTGCTGAAATTCTGAATTGAGGAAATTAGGTTTAGGGAGTGAAGGTTTTGCCTGTTTACAGTCTGTTTAGCGTTTAGGGACGGGTAACAAGGTTCAATCTACATAACCCACCAGTTATTTATGTCGGAGTGTCGGACCAAAAACCTAAACTGTACGAGTTATCAAGAAGTCTAAAAATATATCGGAACTCGTTTAAATGTTTAATAAGTGGATTAAACCGATGAAATGGATTGTTTTGTTTTTTTTTTTAATGCTACTGGCTCTATTATATTGTAGTAGATGTTCATATACTTTCTCAACCTACTGAAACACAAAGAACCAATAACGCCTCCATTGAGGCTCGAACTCATAACTTTCTAAATGGAAGTCCAACCCGAGTACTATTAAACCACATAGTCCGGGTAAATGGATTGTTTTGATAGTTGTATGAAATTTGTATTTTTTGTCCTAAATTATAGGGCAATTATATAATTCGTCTATATTTATTAATTGTGTTTACTTTTCGTCTTTATATTATAATTAACGTTACAAATTTCGTCATTTTTCTAATAGGTCGTGCTCACTTTTCTTTCTTAAATTATACTAACGTTATAAATTTTGTCCATAATTTGTTTTGTTAGAAAATGGACACAATTTGTAATGTTAATTATAGCTTAAAAATTAAAAGTGAGCATAATCAACAAATAATGATGAATCTTATAATTGTTTTATAATTTAGGAATGAAAAGTACAATTCTCCCACAATTCTATTTTAAAAGCTAAACATGAAAGAGCAAAAAATTAGCTCCACGTCATTATTCACAATTTAAACATGCTAAATTTGACCAAGGATCATATCCAAACGCTAAAAGACAACCTTAACTTCCACGACAAATTATACCATGGACAATAATCTATTTTGCATTGTATATAGAGGAGAGTATCGGACGGTGATCATACGAATTGAGTGGACGGAAAATCCACCGGAACGTATTTCGATTTTTGTTTTCCACTCCCAATCCGTGTAATTATTTTTGTAAACCCGTTAGGTATGTAAGGTACTTAACCCGTCAATTTTTTTAATATATCTCATAAATTTCGTTATTGATTAACAAATTAAATTTTAAAAAATGTGATAGTTAAATAGTTTACTAATTTTTGGATGCTTGGGTATTTTGCTTTGTTGTCAAATTTAGACCCGCCTCCTATTTTGTTGCAGAAAATGAGGACCATCTAGTGACACCAAGTTGCTTTCCCAAATGGGAGATTGTGGGTTCGAGTCTCAATGGAGGCAGTATTAACTCTTTGTACTTCAGTATGTTGAGAAAGAGGTAATTACGTTTGACAAGTTGGTCCTCCGTTATGTCAGACTTTGTAATTAGAGGTTTAGAGTCAAAGGTTAAGATTTGGTTCAAAAAGACTAAAAAATCCCTAATTCCCAATTTGCAAAATCATGTTGTTGGTCCGATATGCTGGTTCAAGAGGGTGGTTCTAGAGGACTGCTAGTTTGAGTGGCACGCCGAGAAAAGCTTGAGAGGGAATATGCAAGGTGTTAATGGTTCAAGAAACTCCTGCAATTACTAATCGTGCCGGCAACAAAGTTGAGATAACGAAATCTGCTACGTGAAGATTTGTGGGCGTACAACAAAGGTCGTCGGGGTGGTGGGTGACGGAGATCCGACTATGGATGGGGACTTACGACACAGCAGAAAAGGCAACGAGGGCGGCGAGTCGGAGTCGTCCTAATTCACCAGTCCACTCCGAGCAATCTACAGGCTCACCGTTGGACGGTAAGCATGTACTGAGCTTCTCTTCGTCCTAATTCATCAGTCCACTCCGATCAATCGTCTAAAAGCATAGTGAGCGATCACTTCAGTTTCACCAGTATCTTCCACCTCATGAACAGTTACAATTACCAGTTCTAGCAAAGCCCGCCATCGGTTGACATGAAGAAGATGGAGAAAGTAGTGGTGCAGCCAAGCATCGTGGTGCCGTCTGCTATTGCGGAAGAGTCGACAACATATTATCGTTGCTGGGAAACATCGTCGTCTAATGAAGAGGTTTAGCAGTTTGGATGCGTATAAGGAAAAATAATGGCAATCATCTAGGGTTATTATGTTATATGAGGGTATAAATGACACATGCAAAGTGAAATTCCCACACGACCCTCACATTTGACAGATTTTAGACAGCTGCCCGAACAAAGGACCAAATTGGTTAACATTTTCATATTTGAAGGACTTAATTGGGTAACAAAAATTGTTAAGGACCAAATTGGTAATTTCGCTATAGTCAATATATCATTTCGGTAATTAACTCGTTGAGAAATTAGTTATAAACATATTTAAAAAAAAAAAAAGTTTACTGAAATTAAATTTACTGATTCACTTTCATTCTTTCGGTCACCATTTACATCACCATATAATTTATTAAAATGATATAACATGTATTATATATTGTCCCTGGGTCCAAGACATTTGTATATAATATCATAAAATTCATCTTATATGGATCACCTCAAGATTTATCAAATCTTACCCTCATATTCTTTATCATACTTTAAACATTTAAACACTGCATAGATTCAACTCCCTCCATTTCATTTAATATGCATGACATATCATAAACTTCAGAGAAAAAAGTAATAGAAGTCTTGTACAAAGAACTATATATCTTAACTATCATTTCATATAAAGATTTCCGAATGTTAATCAATGATTGAACAAAATTCCACTCTATAAAACTATGTATATTCCCACCCAAATCAGTAGTAAAAGATGTATCATGATCTTCATACACTTCAAACACGTTATAGTAGAGCAATGTAGTATGAAACATCATGTATGTGGAGATCCACATTGTAGAAACATTAAAACGCAACGAACTTGTAGCTTTCACCCTACTTAAATCATACATATCTCTAAACTTTGCTTCAGTTGTAGTGCTCTGCCATCTAAACTCCATGTAGTGCTCTGCGCCTTTGCTTAAGTGTTTCGTCACATGTCGTATGCTCTCTGTCGTCTATCATTGGCATCGCAAAGTTGAAGTACTCTTGTCGACTCCTACAATATGCTCGTCCTTGGTTGCTCGTTCGTGACTTCTCATCCTTCGCCTAGTAGGTACCATCCTATCGCAAAATCATAGTGTTATATGTTATAATGTTATATACTTATCTTAGTACTACTTATCACACGCGCATTGCGTGAATAGTTCAAAACCAATGTGTATTTTTTAATTAGTGTTTCATAATTTATCAATGCATGATTCAATATCATGGCGTATATCAATGCAAAATAATTAAATTTTTCATAAAAAGTAAATGTTTCAAAAATGCATAACTATGACATGTGGCATAATTTTTCATAAAATTAAATGGTCCAATATAAGTTTTAGAGGGAAACACCATCAACCAAACATAATTTTTGAAACACAAAACTCTATTAATTGGCGTGATCCATACTTCATCTTGCTGCCACTTCCGCCAAAAATGAATTATTGAATTAATCTAGTCCACTGATATTCTTCACTGCAATTTTAGTGTCTTGGTGTAGTGCATATTAAAAAACAGAACCAAATCATCATTTCCCAAAAAGGCACTGATAATAGGCATAATTTTTTATATGTGTTGAATATATACTGTAAATTATGTGTACCGTTTCATCAATGGCTCATGTGTGATTTTAATTAATTGACCAAAGTTCATGTTAAGATTTAACTGATTTATATTGTATTTTTTAATACACTCTAACATAATCATAATATATGTTTAACAATTAGTTAATCTCACTTTTGGTCCCAAAATTTTTGGGCTGTTGTCAATTTCAGTCCACAACTTTCAAAACTAACAATTTAATACCATAAATATTCAATTTTAATCAATTCGGCCAATTGTCGCCAATTCGTATCCACATCCCACCTGCCTCTGTAGTAATTCAAACAATGGTTTACAAATTAACTTCCTTTTTAACATTGAATTAAAAGATTCCAGCGACAATTTCGTCATACTGACTAAAATTGATAAAAATTGAATATCTAGGATACTAAATTGTTAGTTTTGAAACCTGTGGACTCAAATTAACTGCAAATTATGTTGTGGAAACGTGTTCACCATGCGCATGGTAAACACATGGGTAGATTCATAATTTCTATGCTGTAGATTCATAATTGTGTTTTTCATTTGTTGTTAACGACGTTTCTCTCTTCGCAAACGTCTTCGCATTACAGATATTATGAATCTATAGTACATAAATTATGAATCTACAATATATAATTTATGAATCTACAATATATAAATTATAAATCTACAGCTTAGAAATTATGGATCTATCCCGTGTTCACCATGCGCATGGTGAACACGGTTCCACATCATAACTATTACAAATTAACAATACTCCAATAGTCATACGACCAAAAGTGAAATTAACTCGTTTAACAATTATGATTGGGGTGTGGTTCAAAACTAAGAGAGGGAGAGAACATGACTAAGGTTGATAGTGACAAAAAGTAGTGGTATTTAGAAAAAGTAAATGATATAATAGAAGATAATGATGACAAATAATAAAAAAATAATACTAAATCAAAATAACATGAATTTTTCTTTTCAACAAATAATTATACCAATATTTTTTAGTTTCTGTTAGAGGCATAATTTTATTGGCTCTTATTAGGTTTGTAGATCTATAATTCATTGTTTCATGATTCCATAATTTATACATACATAATTGATACTCTAGAATTCATTAATTATGTTGAAAGTTGAAACTGCCAACATATAAAAAAAAAAAATTGACTGCCTAGGCGCACATCAGACACTCGACTGACGAGCGCAATATGTACCATTGATAATAAATAAATAGAATTTATTTAAATAAATGATAGTTTATGAGATGATAAATAAACGTATAATAAATAACTAATTTGATAGAGTTTTTTTTATTCTTCTTAAAATGTTGAATTCCCAACAATTTTTTCATGAAAACTCAGTTACCTTACTAGTTGGTTGATTTATTTTGTAGTTTTTGATTTTTTTTAAAAAATAATAGTAATATAAAAGGGAGATTATAAAAATTATAATAGAAAAGCAAGTATGACATTGTTATTAAAATTGTAAAATTAACAATTAAATATTACAATAGCATAATAGTTTGATTACTAAACTGAAATTTTATATTTTCTCATTGAAATTTAATCCATGGCGCGACGACATGGCGGGTGCGAAATTTTTTAAAATGTGTTACGAGCGCATTTTTAAAACTCCCAACATTTGGGATCCCTAGTAGTCCAGTCAACGATCCAGTGAGAGACTGAGCATCCAATGACCACTCACCACGTGGGCAGAGATACAAATTGTACGAGGATCAACGATAATCTGGTCCCTTCAGAGCCGTCGATCTGAGAAAAAACCCAATCTGTAATCGACGCGTCGTGTTTGTCCAGCGCATCGATCCGCGCTACTCCCAATCCTCGAATAAACATCGACCTCATAACCACTATAAAACAGAAACCACTCAACCTCCATTCTCATCGCAAACAATCACTTTTCTTATTCTCTCTTCAAAACACTCAAATCCTTTCGAAGAATTTCCATGGCTCCCAAGGCAGAGAAAAGGCCCGCCGAGAAGAAGCCCGCCTCCGAGAAGCCGACGGAGGAGAAGAAGACCAGCGTCGCCGAGAAAGCTCCGGCGGAGAAGAAGCCAAAGGCCGGGAAGAAGCTCCCCAAGGAAGGAGGCGCCGCTGCCGGCGACAAGAAGAAGAAGCGGGTGAAGAAGAGCACCGAGACCTACAAGATCTACATCTTCAAGGTCCTCAAGCAGGTCCACCCCGACATCGGAATCTCCAGCAAGGCGATGGGGATTATGAACAGCTTCATCAACGACATCTTTGAGAAACTGGCGCAAGAGTCCTCCAGGCTCGCCCGTTACAACAAGAAGCCCACAATCACCTCCCGCGAGATCCAGACCGCCGTCCGCCTTGTCCTCCCCGGCGAATTAGCGAAACATGCCGTGTCTGAAGGCACAAAGGCCGTGACTAAGTTTACTAGCTCCTGAATTGATTTAATCCTTAATTTCAAATCTAGGTTATGTTGTGTTTTGGGAAAATTAATGGAATTGCGGAATAGGTATTTTGTGTAATTAAATTGGTCTGTTCTAAATCAATGAAAGTTGTTTTTCTTATCTTATATAATACATGTGTTAATTTAACCGCCATCCAGGCAGTTACAGATTCCCTCGTCTATAGTTCCGCGCTCCCTCGTCCATCTCATTCTATAACTACGAAGCATCACAGGATCCGAATGATTCATTGATTGATTTATTCATTCCATAATGTCATGGACATTGATTTTGCTTCACTCTACTGTCCGATTTTTCAGCAGGGCATGGCCGCTGCTAGTGTACGCCGCCGTGTGGACGCTCCTCCTGCTCATAACCGTCGGGGTGGCTTCGTCGTTGGCGCAGCTTGCGTACGTGTCCGCGTTGTCGCCTTCCTCGCCGCCGTGTAACGCCGGTTTTGTTAGGGTTCCGCTGGATGTTCCGGCGGAGAAGTTTTGCCTGCCGGTTGGCTTGATGAAGAGGTCGGAATGGGATCTCCTGGTGCCTGTTGTGTTTGCTGCTCTGCTTGTCTCCACCTCGGCTTACATGATTCGAAGCGTAGGCTTCTGGGAATTTGAAAATGATTACTATTGATTTCATGTTCTGTCCTTCATTTTCCTTTCGATCTGGGCCTCTGTGTAGCAATTTACGGTTTTTTCATTCCTATGCATAACTACGATCAAAGAACAAAACAGCAAGCATTTAATGATTTAATATTCTGTTTCATGTTTTGTTGTCTAAAACATTTAAGATTTCGTGCGTACCTTTTGTCGTTTATATTCTTAGACATGATTTGTAATCTAGTTATTGGCTTGAGGGGATGAAGTGATAAGTTTGTGAATTGAATTCTCAATAGTAAGCTTAATTAGAAATAGGAGTCATAAACTATAGACCTATATAAGAGGCTATTACTTATAAACTAAATCCTATACAATAGTTACAACAATTCACATAACAATAATATTAATACTAATAATATTAACATCACTAACAGAGGGATACTCTTGGGTAATCAAAAAAAAATTTAGGACTAGATCTCTCTTGCACCTTAACGAGTGCATTGTCCTACGCTCGAAGGAATACAACCACTAGCCTTTCCCATTGACTTCTATGAGAATTTCTTGCTCCTTTGTGTTGTTGTTTGGGTTGGGTAATTGTGTTAAGTTAATCGATCCATTGAAATATTTTTCATTAATAATAGGGTGAATCAATGATTTGGTCCCTCACTTATTCGCGACTTGTCAATGTTGCCCCTGAGTCACGTATTCATCGATTTAGTCCCCGAAAATAATTGTTTTTCGTCAAATCAGTCCTTATGGCCGTATTCCGTCAAGTCTCAGGCGAGAGCTCTGATTTGCCCTGGACATTTTGATATTTTCGCGCTTTCTTCTTCATTAACTCTGACCAAGCTTCGCCGGAGGGAGCTCCATCTCTTCTCTGCTCGTGGAAATGAGCTCATTCGCAGTAGTGATTTTGATTCTTGATGTTTCCTTTTAATAATTGAGGAATATTGTCTTTAGCATTTGTGCCCTGAAAATTTAAAGTTTGGTGTTTAGGAAATGTGTCTAGCGACGATGGAATGTCGTAGGTATCGCCAATGGTGGCGCCGACGCCAGTGCCATCCCAGGTTACTGTTCCATCTAGGCAAAACCCTTTTGGTGCGAGCATTCATAATCCGATCAATGCTCCGACATTTCCACCGTCATCCCAGACGAGATCGTTGTCGCTGCCGCCGCTGCCGGCCGCGAATACCGGTGGGTTTCCGTCTCAACGGAATGTTCCTGGGAGCTCGATGTCGGATTCGACATCGTCGTCTACTTCGTCGGACGAGGATATCCAGAGGCGGCACCAGTGGAAGAGGAAGTGGAAGGACTTCTTCGAGCGGCTGATGAAGGATGTGATTGAGAAACAGGATGAGCTGCAGAAGAGGTTTCTAGAAGCTCTCGAGAAGCGGGAACGCGACCGGATGGTGAGAGAGAGGAAGCGTGGAGAGTTCAAGAGATGTCGAGAATGAACCGGGAGCACGATCTCTTGGTCCAAGAAAGATCCATGGTGGCGGCAAAAGACGCCGTCGTGCTTCAATTTTTGCAAAAGGTCTCCGAACAGCACAATCTTCAAATCCCAATAACCAATGCAACTACTCCAGCGTAAATCCATATACAATTGCCGGCGAGGAAAGATGAATCACTACTGCGGATGAGCTCATTTCGACGAGCAGAGAAGAGATGGAGCTCCCTCCGACGAGCTTGAGCTTATCCGGCGAAGCTTGGTCAGAGTTAATGAAGAAGAAGGCGTGAAAAGACCAAAATGCCTATGGCAAATCGGAGCTCTCGCCTGAGACTTGACGGAATATGGCCATAGGGACTGATTTGACGAAAAACAATTATTTTCGGGGACTAAATTGATGAATACGTGATTCAAGGGCAACATTGACAAGTCGCGAATAAGTGAGGGACCAAATCGTTGATTCACCCTTAATAATAATACATAAATGCTAAATTGAAAAAATGTCAAAATCCATAAAGCAACGACTAAAATTAAAACACACTAATAACGCTGAAACACTTATGAGCTGTCCGAATAATATTAAGATATGCTAGAGTCTAGAGATAAGATTTTGATAGCAATGCTATTTTCAACATTTCTTTTTTATTTTTATAAATGAAGTGTAAATAACTCAATTGCTTGTCAATAACTGTGGTAGGTTAGTTACTCCCATAATGAAGTCAATGGTGATAATATAAAACATTTATAGTACTTCCTCTATTATCATTTTGTATAATGGGAGTTAATTTAATTTTTATAAAAAAAAATTATTCATTTAAAATTAAATTAAGGAATATAGGAAAGCAATCATATTGTTAAGCTTTATGTAGAACAATAACCAATGAGGGTCCATAGCTCAGTGGTAGAGCATTTGACTGCAGATCAAGAGGTCACCGGTTCGAACCCGGTTGGGCCCTTTTTAAAAATTAATGTTAACGTTACGCTTTGTTTTTGGTTTCTTGTTCGTCTTGGGAAAAAGAGGACGTAAAATAATGGCGTCGCCCGGACTCGAACCGGAGACCTTCAGTGTGTTAGACTGACGTGATAACCAACTACACCACGACACCTTCGTGAAATGGTTTTTGATTTTAAAGTATATGGCCAGTAGTTTTTATGGCGGCTTAGTCTTCCCCACTTGCAGGATTAGAGGCAATATTCAATTACTTTCGTCGACCCTTCTCCCTTTTTCCTTCATCGTCATTCCTCAGAGGCTCAAACCCTACCCCCCCCCCCCCCCCCCCATTCACACCTTCATTCCCTATCTCTCTCTCATTAGAAAAATGGCAGATGCTGCTCTGAGCATGAGTTTGGACGATCTCATTAAGAAAAATAAGAGGTCCGGAGGAGGTAATTCTCGCGGCAGAGGTCGTGGATCGGCACCCGGACCAGCTCGACGTATCCCCAATCGCTCCGCTAACCGATCCGCCCCTTACGCAACTGCCAAGGTGTCTACCATTTTTTTTAAAGATTTTTGTACGGAAACTGTTATCAGATTAACTACTTAGAAGGTTACTTTCGATTTATATTCTACTTAGTTGTTACAATTGTTTTTGGATCAGGCACCGGACTCAGCTTGGAATCACGATATGTTCGCGACGGATCAGCCTATGGCGTTTGACGGGCACATCGTCGGTGGTGCTCGAGCCTCTTCGATAGAGACCGGCACTAAGCTTTATGTCTCAAATCTAGAATATGGCGTCTCTAACGAAGATATTAAGGTTTTTTCCTGGAATTTTTAGTTTCTCTTGAAGGATTGCCTTTGATTCCCTTGATATAGTGTGTTAAATTTTGCCGAAATTATGAGTGCTTTTGAAGAAGTTAACATGTATGATGCTATGCTGTTAATGGATACTCTAAATCTAATACTTAAACAACATTTGGCTTCTCCCCCAGTGTCTAAATTAGTTATGGAGGTTTTTATTCTTCTTTTATTTTGATATCAGTAGCATATGTAGTTGACAATGTTTAATTGGTTGATTTCGGTAGCCTAAACATATTTTCTGAATTCATCTGAAGTTTAAACTAGTTTAAACATATTATTCTTTCTTATATAATACGATGTCATTTAATGCAGGAACTCTTTTCAGAAGTTGGTGACCTGAAACGCTATGGAATCCATTATGATAGGAGTGGGAGATCAAAGGTATATATGCTAGGAAGAATTCGGTTTTCTGGCTACTCGTGCATATTCTTCTTTGGTTAAGGAAAATCAATTTCTCTAGGGAACAGCAGAAGTTGTTTACTCGCGCCGACAAGATGCTTTAGCAGCTGTTAAAAGATATAACAATGTTCAGCTTGATGGAAAACCAATGAAGATAGAGATTGTTGGCACAAACATTGTCACTGCTCCTCCATCTACCGTTGGTTCTGTTGGAAATTCTAACGGAATTCCCCGTAGGTATGTAGCTTAGATACAGAGACAAAAAATGCATACCATTTCTTTGAACTATCTCTTTTGGTTTTCTGATGTGTCACTTTTACTATTAGTTTACTGCTTCACATATTGGATGACCTACACTTGCTTTAAAACAAAAAGGCTACTTTGTGTGTTCATGGAACATTGTTTTTATTGTTGGAGATTTTTGATCTGGCATGTACCATTCTCAACAGTATGTTTAAATGAGAGCAGTAATGAATATATCAATTTATCAATACAAGTTTTTACCTTCTCATTAGTGTTGTCAATTTGTTAATTACTATGTGAAACTTATAGTCAAAAGAGGATTGCACTTTTAAGTTGACAGTTACATATGAGGGATTTGTAAAGGTGTTATAAATATACTTCTGCAAATATTTGAAAAAGTTGAACAAAAAGAAATAAACCAGCTTTACTTTGAAGACTACATCATGCAATTCCATGACCCACAGGCCATTGCATAACTTGCTAGTATATAAACCGAAGAAATGGCAATGGCTAATTGATTAAATAATAAAGCAGAGATTAATTTTAACTGATAAGTGTAATGATGCATTTCGTCTTCAGTAGTGATCTATTTCAGTAACTTTATTGTTACCTCTTTTTTTCTTTCCCATTCTTTTTGTCTTTCCCTATCGGTAGTTATGAAATTTTGACTTTGATAATTGGGTTTGACTACCTGTCTAATGTGCTCTTATTATATTTTGTTGGTTATAAATAGTGGACAAGGAAGAGGTGGAGGTTTTGGAAGGTTGCGTGGAGGTAGGGGAAGAGGGCGTGGATTTCAAGCAGGTCGAGGGCGAGGAAGAGACCGTGGAGAAAAGGTGTCTGCAGATGATCTTGATGCTGATTTAGAGAAGTACCATGCTGAAGCTATGCAGACAAATTGATAGGAGATTCCATATCATTGTTTCTCCAGACTCTGTGACTATACTGTGAACCTATGCGTGATGGTTTCATGGGTCTTTTGTATTTTTAGCAATGTTTGGCTCTTTTATGATTACAAGGAAGTACTAATAGGGAGACTTGTACCTCTGATGTTTGGGGCTTGAGATTTGTGACATATTGTTGCTCTTCAATTTGGTATTGCGTTGGATGGATTTATGCAATGTACTGAGTTCCTTAGTTTTTTTTCTTACACAAAATTCCTAATTGATTATGAGAAGTTGACAGTCAGATGGAGTTGCTTGTAAGCCAGAGGATCATATTTTTCGAATGAAAGCAGTTGGAGCCCTGATACTTGCTGTGATGATGTGCTTTCTAGTGCTTATTGCTTCATTCACCGTGGCATCAACTTTGAGGTAGATTTTACAATTTCTGTTGGATCTGTTTTTTTTTTTTTTTTTTTTAGGTTGGATGTCCTCCCTTTCCGGCTAAACGTGGTGCTTAAACAGTATTCTTTTTCCTTTTTTAAAATTCAATTTCTTTTTGTTTCTAGGTTGATATATGGCCATAGACTTCAATGTTGGATTTCTGTGAGGTGGTGACATAGGAAAGAATGAAAGATGTTGCAATTTGTTGATGACTGAGATGACTTTCCTAATGTGTAGTTGTACAAGTTAAAGCTGTACTTTTTCACATTCAGAAATACAGTAGTTGTTTCTTTTCCTGGTGTTCGGATTGGGTTCATGATGCTGATGGGAAGTTCCAGATGTGCAGTTTTGAATGGCAACTTGTGGAGTTTTGGCTTGATGCTTATTCAATTGGTTAGTTTTCTTCATCTCAAGGGCTATGGTTTTTATGCTTCCCTTTGAATGAAAGTGCAGTACAGGGACTATGCATATTTTGATGATGTTCGACTCGCTTTTGGGCACGCAATCCTAGGACCGAGTTTATACCAAAGATATACAGACTAGTAGTATGCATTGAGTACATGAATGATCAATTTAATTAGTGTAACCTGAAGAACATTTAATTGCTGCTTTGGTTTATAGATTCCAAATAGAGCCACCATGTGGAAACTAATGGTTTTATACTTTTATATGGTATAACAGTTACAAATTTTGTTACCTTACAAACATGAAGGCATCAACATAAAAGTTGTTTTCTGATGTCTCAAGTAAACCAACTGGAATGTTTCTAAGTCCTAACAACCAATTTATTAGGGGTTGGGAATTTGGTTCGATTTTCCCAAACCAGTTCAATTCGATAATATACTAAACAACTGAACGGATCGATCCTTTGTTATTTTCTATTTAATTTCTTTATGACTTGTTTTTTACCTTGCACTTTTTATTATTTGTTACAATTATTCTTTGTCTCACAATTATCTCTAACTTGAGTTATTTTTACAAAATTTAGCATTTTCTTTGATTTCATTTTCTATGAAATTAATGTACTTCAACATCATTTTAATATTTTAATGCATTGAAAATATATTTTGCCAAATTCCAATGCATTAAAAATATATTTTACCAGACAATAACAGATTGTGCCTAAAATTATTAAGTCAACTGAGAAGTCAATTGAGCAAAATGGTAATTAGTACTTAGTAGTGTAATTGAACTTTGCATTATAATTTTGTTACTCTGTATATAATATTTAGACTTTGAATTTGAACTAATGTATTGTTTGGTAGTGCATTTGAAAAATTAAAAAAAGTTTGAAAATTGAAGTTCTTAAACCAAATCAAATACCGAGTCGAAACCGAACTATAATGTTAAATTGAATGGTACAATTTTTTTTTTTAAAAAAATGTCAAAATACCGATACCAAAATCAAAACCGGAAAAACTAAATCGAATCCCAAGATGCCCACCCCTACAATTTACCCCCAAAACCAGACTAATGCAGTCGTTGAAACTCCTCTAATGATGCAATTTAACACCACTACAGATAATTTAAAAAACTTGCCTATACTATACTTCTAAGCCCAACAATCTAATCTAATACATCAATAAAGCTATCTTAAACCCAAGAATAGCATGACTATAAGGGTGCATTTACCCCAAAAAAAAATAAAAATTCTCCATTTTTCTGGAGAAAAAAAAAAAACTGAAAAATTGAAGTAAACATAACCAACTTACCGTGGGATCAAGAAACTTTGATGCACTGTACAAATTCTTGGGTCTTGGGAGTACAAACTAGTGGGTGGGGGTTGTTGCTTAGTGTATAATATAGGGGAGTGATACAACTTGAACAAAGGAAAACCTCACCAGCCCATCAATGTTCTCCTCACCCTATCTACTATATGATTTTTATCTACCATTGTCGACAAGTCAAAGTTGCAATTCTCGTCTAAGAGAAATCTGAAGACCTCCCATTCACGATTTACTGCTGAATGTGTTTCGATTTCTGCCTGCAAAATAGGAGGTTATGATGCCATTAACTGGGGCTCACAAATGTAACAATTAATATAGTCAAGTAGTCAACTGAATCAATCCCTATTCCATTTTTGTTTAGAAAGTTCATTCAAATTAAGAACCATTTCCTTACTGAAAATATGCAGATCCCAAGGGTCTTTAGGGCAAATGTCACGTCATAGAAAACACGTGGTCTTCCCATTCCTGATAGCTCCAATGGATTGGCTACCAGAAGTTCAGTATCCGGCCCACGATTTGAGATAACCACCCGTAAAGGGTGAAGCAATTCCACTTTCAAACAATAACATAATGAAGCTTGTTTCTCAGGATCCAGAATTTTTTCCCCATTTTTGTGTTGGACAAAAACATCTAGTTCCCGCTGGCCCTTATTAGCAGCAGAGAAACGGGCATATGTTATCTAAAAACAAGAATGTACAAGTGTTATTAACAGTTGTAATGCTTTACCCAATTTGTCATCCTCCTGCCAACTACAATTAAGTTTACAAGTGTGGAAACACAATGGTTTAAGACAAAAGTATGGGCTGATACAAAAGGCAAGGAATATCAAGTAAAGAAAATCTTAAGAAAGATGATTTAACGTGTTTGAATTAAACTATAAATTATCACCTGAACATTGCAGCCCTTCAACGCTCGTGTAATGTCATAAAGGAAGCTCTTGTAATCAACGCAACTAATCTGAATCAATGTATGAGCAGAGCTCAAGGCATTATCTATTGTCACAATAGATTTCTTCAATTTCATCACATCTGGGCTAAGCTCTTGTAAGTGAGTTTCATTTTCCGATAATTCACATCTAAATAATTCATTGGTGACTGAAGGGGAGAGAGCAGAGAAACACGGAAGGTTTTCATACAGTGGACCTGGGGCTACTAGCTTCAGCTCACAACTAATGCATGATTCACCTAGAACAGCACGCAACTGCTCACACAATTCCTCTTGTTTCTCTTTTATATTTAGGAGCTCCCTGACAATCAAGCACGATAGCCATAACAAAAAATTAAACATTGAAATGAATGAGGTCATACTAATAAGAGTAGAGGAATGATAATTAAAACCTAGACCCTAAAAAAATCATTTCTTAATTAATGCTAATGTACATGAATACAAGAATTATATAGAAATACAGAGACAAGTATTTCTTACAAGTGATCTTTTATTATGAAAACATCCAGCACACGATCATCTGGAGTTGTCATCACTTTTACTCTTTCGATGTAGAGCTCACACTCGCAGAGAAATTGGGTAACATCTACCAAATTTACACCACAACATTAGACTGGAGCATTAATCAACAATAACATGGTTGAATCAAGGGCATTCTTCATTACCGTACCATGCAATAATCCGGTCCGACCAATACAATAAAGCGTCATGAGGTAGGAAGAGGTAGCGGGAGTTTTGGGGGATGGTAAGTAAATTAAATTGGAGTATGGCGGGCAGACTGACCAAAGGCGGTCCTTCAATTTCGCCCATGTCACAATAGGCGTGGAAGATTGAGGAAACACCCACATCACTACATAGCACCATCTCCCATCAGTTGAAACATCTGATTCCAAGACGAATTTGCGCATTGGAGGTTAGTTTAGCAATGAAACTAATGAAGAATGGGATCTATCTAGTTAACATTTTAGCAAATGTATGTGTGAATTAAAAGAACCTAAATTTGATTCATCTAGCAGCTCAATTTGGTGCAAATTAAAACAAAAACCAGGCTATGAATCCGAACTAACCCTGATCAGTCAATATAAGGGTTTCAAATGTAAAACAGAAACCTTTTCATTGTTAAAACCATGATCCATTCAATGTATACAAGGAAGAGGGTAATTAAGCCAGATTTCAACAGCAGGTAAATAAAACATAAACAGAATTCATAGGTACCTCCTTTTTTGATGTTGAGGCCGAAATCGAGGATGATTCGACAAATTTCGCAACCGAGGCCGAGCTTATCCAGACAATTCACGGTAATCATGTAAGGGTCGCCGGGTTTGTTCCCATTCTGAATCACAACAGAATCGTCCGGCATTGAATTGAATTGAATTGAATTGGCCTTGATTCTAGACGAAGAAAATTCCAGAGATTATAGAACCCAACCCGATTCTAGCTCGGAAATATTCTAGATAAAGGACTTCTCGAACCTGCCAGGACTGCGTATATTGGTTTAGCTCCTGAATTTTACATTTTTATTATTTCTCTATACAAATACTTCTAATGATTTACACCAAAAATTGACAGCCATTATTATACAAAAAAAATGTATTAGAGATGAAGCTTAACGAGCCAAAGATGAATCGACTAAAATTAATATTATTATTGTGTCTGCACGAATATAGCTGATTTAATAGGATAGTATTTTGAAAAGAAAAAAATTAATATTATTATTCATGTATGTTATGATTTTCTCATAAAAAATAGTGCTCTTTAAAATATAAAAATCATTCTAATAATATAAAAATAAAAAATTATTGTGATGAGAATACCAGAACCCTCTGGTCATTGTTACGTTGATTAATCACCCATCACTATACAATATTCATGCACATTCCAGATTCCTCTTCTATCACCATAAGTATATATGCTGGCTCAGCTCCTCTCTCTCATCAATCAACAAGTTTCCATTGAAAGAAATCGATCTGCTTTAATTTAGAGCTTTTCTTGATCATTCAATTCCCAGAAAATAATGTCTCTCATCCCAAGCTTCTTTGGTGGCCGGCGAAGCAACGTCTTTGATCCTCTATCTCTTGACCTCTGGGATCCCTTGGAAGGCCTCTTCTCTCCTTCTTCTCCGGCGAGCGAAACCTCTGCATTCGCTGCGGCGAGGATTGACTGGAAAGAGACCCCGGAGGCTCACATTTTCAAAGCTGATCTTCCCGGGATGAAGAAGGAGGAAGTGAAAGTTGAGGTGGAGGATGGGAGGGTTCTTCAGATCAGCGGAGAGAGGAGCAAAGAGAAAGAGGAGAAGAATGATAAGTGGCATCGCATTGAGCGCAGCAGTGGGAAGTTCCTCAGGAGGTTCCGGCTGCCGGAAAATGCGAAGATGGATGAGGTGAAAGCCGGCATGGAAAACGGAGTGCTGACAGTCACTGTGCCAAAAATTGAGGCCAAGAAACCAGAGGTGAAGGCCATTGATATTTCTGGTTAAACTTGTTAAGCAAGACTATCTTAGTACTTTGAATTCCAGCATAAAATTAATAAAACTGTACTGTTTGTATGTTGTGTGCTTGTGACTTTGCTTCATAATGTAATAATTTGAATTTCTGTTTTCCTCATCCTAATATTATTATTATTATTATTACCTGCTTGTCTACGTCCATTAAAAAAAAATTAAAATGGCAAAATATAAGTGCTGGTTTAATTTGGAGACCAATTCAAGTAAGCTAGACTGAATATAATCTTCATTCATTCAAATAATATAATTAAACACAAGGTACAGACTAGAATTGAGGTTTTTAATAAATATAAAATAAAAATTAAAGCCCAATATAAGAATTCGAATTACAATAATAATAAATCTAAAAATAAAATTCTTAGAAAAACAATGAAAAGAGATATTGAGTTTCAAACTTTTTTTACTGGCACTTAATTAACTGAATTAGTGTTGGCATCCTCCTTCTCATCAAAGCATCTCTTCCACAACCAATGTTTCTTCCACACTCTTTCGTTCATCTCATCAATGGGGATTCCCTTGGTTTCAGGCAACAAGAACACAACAAGCAGCCCCATAACCAAAGCGAATGAAGCAAACATGAAGAAGATGGCGGATTTCATTGTGCAAAGCATGGTAAGAAGAGCTTGCACCGCCACAATAAAAGTGAATATCATATTAGTGCTAACCGCAAAGAAAAATCCTGCTGTTCTTATCTCCAGTAGATATATTTCACTAGCAACCAACCACCCTAATGGACCCCAAGATCAGGCAAAACCCATCACCAACACACAAATCATCACCTACACAATTACTGCCGCGATATCATATTTGTAGCTTTGAGATATGTTGCGAGAATTCTCCCTACCACATCCTACGCTACAATTAAGCATTTGGATGACACCTTCAATCAGTAACGCTCTTCTCCCGAAATAATCAACACCAAAGATTGCCACAACTAACTGTGGAAAATGAATTAACTGATCCAGTGATAAGAATAGACAATAGAGATGCATTGCTCCTAACCCCATTGTTTGAAACAACACAGGAACGTAGAATATGACAACGTTGATGCTGGTCAACTGCATAAATACCTGAAGAATGGTAACACAATAAGCTAGTGAGGACATTGCGAGACCATGCATGCCTTGTTTAAATTTTAGATTGATTTTACTCTTTTACTTGTATCTCACGGAATTTAAATAAGTTATTATGTAATCTTAGATAATCAATTTCTTAACTTGAATCAATTCGGATCCTTTTTATACGTGACTAATGATAATCTGTAGCTAAATCATTTTTCGAATTAAGTCATCTTTCTTTTCATCGGAACGAGTATTTTATTCATCTTCATTTTTTTTGTTGGTAACTAAACACTTAAAATCTCAAAGATAATTTTTCAAGAGCCATTTTCTAATTTTACAATCGACCCTAAATCATTAATTATTAAAACATATTCAATTTGAGGCGGGAATTTTAGTTTGGGAAGAATTAATGATTAAAACAATAAAACATATTTAAATTGAGCCGGGGAATTTTTATTTATTTTTTGTAATCCTAGTTTAACTAAATTTGGATGATGGCACGGGAGGCGGTGCTGCCCAAATCCCAAATTGAGTCGAATTCGATTCAAAAATATCTCATTTAATTTCTATACGGACATGGATACAATACACACCTATAAAAAGGGATTCTTATTCGCCATTCCATCATCCTCAACCCACAGCTCTCTTCAATCTCCATATAATCTTGAGAAGTTTTTGATTGATTGTAGTTTAGTAGCCAGACGAACGTAGAAGGTCTTAGAAATTTATAACAATGGTGGCCCAAATCATGTCTTTAGAGAAGGGTAATGAAGATGACGTCCCGGCGAAACTCACTACACAAGTAATAATATGCTCTATCATAGCTGCCTTTGCTGGTCTAATGTTCGGTTATGATATTGGAATTTCTGGTATGTTACTGCTTACATGCATCAGATCAATTATTTCTCTTAATTGTAACGTACTATTCGTTCCGTTCTTGGTTTAACCAAATTATTTTTAATTTATTGTAGGTGGAGTGACTTCAATGGATGAATTTTTGAAAAAATTCTTTCCAGCGGTATACGTGAAAAAACACATGATTCATGAAGATAACTATTGCAAATATGACAGTCAGATTCTTCAGCTTTTCACATCTTCCCTCTACCTTGCTGCTATTGTCGCTAGTTTCTTCGCTTCCCATTGTTGCAAGCGCTATGGGAGGAAACTTACCATTCAACTCGCTTCTATCTTTTTCATCATTGGAGTTGTCCTCAATACCACGGCTGTTAATCTTATGATGCTCATCTTCGGACGTCTCTTTCTCGGGGCAGGTGTCGGTTTTGACAACCAGGTATTTATTTATTCTCTAATCTATAAAATATATATACATATTATTGTTCTAAATTTGTCATCTAGCTTTGAACTATGATTTTAAGATATTAATGCATTGTTTCATTCTTTCAGGCAGTGCCACTATTCATATCGGAAATTGCTCCTTCAAACAAAAGAGGACTTCTCAATGTTCTTTTTCAATTCTTGATCACAATAGGCATTTTCTTTGCCAATATTGTCAATTATTTATCTTCTAAATATATACGCTCCAATGGCTGGAGGGTATCTCTCGGTGTAGCTGCAATTCCTTCCATTTTTCTAGCTTTGGGCTCTTTGATAATCGTCGAGACTCCTACCAGTTTGATTGAATGAGGGAAGAATGAGGAGGGTTTGCGAGCGCTGAAGAAGATTAGGGGCGTGAAAAACGTAGAGAAAGAGTACAACGACATTTTACGAAACACTGAGATGGCTAAAAAGATCAAAACCCCATTTAGAAACCTAATGAAGCGTTCTAGCTGGCCTCAACTTTTATGTGGCACCATTATTCAGGTATTTCAGCAGTACAGTTGACCGGCATCAACGTTGTCATGTTCTACGCTCCTGTGTTGTTCCAAACAATGGGGTTAGGAGCAAATGCATCTCTATTGTCTACTCGGATCAGTTAATTCACTTTCCACAGTTGTGGCAATCTTTGGTGCTGATTATTTTGGGAGAAGAGTGTTACTGATTGAAGGTGCCATCCAAATGCTTGTAGCCCAGGGTGTGGTAGGGGGAATTATTCTCTCAGCATATCTCAAAGCTACAAATATGATACCAAAGTTTGCGGCAGTAATTGTGTTGGTGATGATTTGTGTGTTTGTGATGGGTTTCGCCTGGTCTTGGGGTCCATTAGGGTGGTTGGTTGCTAGTGAAATATATCCACTGGAGACCAGAACGGCAGGATTTTTCTTCGCGGTTAGCACCAATATGATATTCACTTTTGTTGTGGCGCAGGCTTTTCTTACCATGCTTTGCACAATGAAATCCGCCATCTTTTTCATGTTTGCTTCCTTCGTCTTGGTTATGGGGTTGTTTGTTGTGTTCTTCCTGCCTGAAACCAAGGGAATCCCCATTGATGAGATGAACGAAAGAGTGTGGAAGAAGCACTGGTTGTGGAAGAGATGCTTTTATGAAAAGGACGATGCCAACACTGATTCGGCTAATTAAGTGCAATTAAAGATAATTTGAAACTCAGTATATATCAACTATATCATATGTTATTTCATTGTTTTTCTAAGAATTTTAATTGTTAGATTTATTATTGTAATTTGAATTCTTATGTTAGGCTTTAATTTTTATTTTACACATTTATTACGAACCTCAATTCCTGTACCTTATTTTTAATTATTAGAATAATGAATGACTATTCAGTCTAGCTTATATATCATGCATGATGCATACTTCCAATATGAATGAATGCATATTCAGTCTAGATAATAAAAAATGTAAAATATTTTTACTAAAATCCATTACCATTAGTAAGTATTTGATTCTCATTTCGATTCTAATTCTCACGTGCGAACCAAACACACCCTAAGGATGCTATAAATTCCATATCTTGTAAATAAATATTAATGTACTCACATTCATAAATAAAGTTTCAAATTAATTATAATTAGAAATAAATAGTTATAGTTATTATATGCATACAAAGGTTTGTTATTTAATTGCTATCCAAAGCAATACACTGCCTATTCAATCTATTAATTGCGTGTTGCCTAGTCTATTACGACACCGAATTTGATAATTCAAAAATCTGATCTAATGAACTGTGACAATAATTCATTTTAATAGTTTTTTTTTAATAGTAAGAAAAATTTATAATCACTATTTAATGGTATATACGAAGTAAACTCTATACAATAACTCATAAATCATGAGAGGTAAACTCCACGCCTTATATATTAATCTCTAATTTAGAAAGAGTCACATATAGTACACTAGCTAGACTCTATTTTTTTCATTGTTGGGCTTTGCAGCAACTTCCTGAATATATGCTTTGGGTGAAGTTCTCCTTGTGACCCTAGTTGGTAAAAAATCATAAAGAAATAAATAATCCTAAGTTTCTCATAGTTGACGGTTCAAACCAAGAAGGGTCAATAGACAACTCTCATGGAGAGTCGAACTTGTAACCTTATGATTACTAAGCTAGAAGTCCGATTAACTTTGTTGGGATTACCTCAGAATTTCAATCCTTATACCATGGACCAGGGGTCACACTGCATTGTGGACCCTGGTTCATGTCATCATGTGTATGTGTTTTGTATTGTGACATTTTATGTCTTGTTTACCTTAAGAGTATGATTTTGATCTATACCTGAAACAAATTAGTAATTGTTTCTTATGTTATGAATTTAATTTTGTGTCTTCTGTTGTGAAATTTTGCGCCTATGAACACCAATTATTACCTAAATCAGATTTAAAAAATAAGTAAATATATAACATGTGTATAAGCCTTGTCTTATGATTTTTTGTATTTTATATTATAAAATAGTATAAATTCTGTATCTCATCATTTTAATCCAAGATCCATAATACTATGTGCGTGAACCTCAATCCATGATATAAATTGCCTCAGAAATTTACCCCCTATTCAAACTAATTAAATTGCTAATACTAAAAAATATCAATAATTTCAAACAACTGATTAAATAATATAGCTGTATTTAATTATGTGTATGCCGATCAGGGTCATATCAAACTTTCATTCATGTATTCTATTCTTGCCAACTTTTTTTTTTTTTTTTTTTTTTTTAAATAAAAGTTTGAATTAGAGGGAGCTGAGCCACTCATCAACAATGTAACACAAATAATTAATGATCAATAATTAACAAATAATCTCATATATAGTAATGATGATGTGAAGGGCAGGTAGCTTGTATATATGGATTACTAAAAACAACATTTTCCGTGTGCCATTGGGCTTCAACCCCATGATACGATCACGACGCGTTTATGTTGGGACCGACACCGTATAATTCACTCGTCACCCACATGTTTTGTTAGGGGCCAACCGCCCAATTGCCCTAATTCTCTTTTCAACCTTTTTTTCTATTTTCAATGTGATTATTTTTTTTGTTTTAATTTTAAACAGAAAATAAAAGGTAATATGAATCCCATAAAATGGAAATCATTAATAACATGAAAAAATGCATTAAATTACTTGAAAGAGGTTGGCAATTGATAAAACATATATAATTTTTATATTCGAAACTTACGAGTCTAATTTTTTATAATTTTTTTTTGTGTCTGTCACACTTACGTTTTAAATTTTAAAAATATTATACTAATATAAATGAATGAACTTATGTAATAAAATTCTGTATGGTCAAGCCTATCTTGGTCGCTGGCGGGCGGCGACTTTGGCCTTTAATTGGAGCTTGACTTGCATTGTGAGATCAATAGTGGACCCTTCTAAACTTATGCCTGCATGCATGCATTAATGTATTTTTTTTTTTTTTGAATTTTCATCAATTTTAGAAATTTGACCGCGAATTAATATGTAATGTAATGACACATTTATTACCATTTTAAATGAATATTTCATAAGATCAAACTCTAGTAGTGGGGGCATCAATTTTTTGAACTAAAAAATATTTAGAAAGTATGGAACATATACTATTTTGTAAAGAATTATGAATATTTTTTTTTTTTTCAAAAAAGAAATTCGGCCAAACAAATTATCAACGACGCTGAATCCTCAAATAAGAAAGGAAGAAGGAGAATAATATATATGCACGAAAATGATTATATGAAAATTGAGAATCAATGTAAGTCGTTTATTTAGTTAGATTTAACAATTATGGAGAAAAAAGTTTAAAATAAATAACTGCAACATTTTGATACAGTTTTCTAACCTTAAAAGTGCACTATGCAATATTATACTAAGTGTAGTGCAATCAGAGTTCAATTTTTTTTTGGTTTAAATTACTATTTTGGGGGTTAATTTGGTTTAAGTGTTCAATTTTTTACGATTTAGAGTTTAGTATTTATAATTTATATATATTTTTTTTGTTTAGATTTTAGAATTTATCTAGAAATGCACTCTATAGTTATATTTTTACAGTTAGAAAAATTACCAAAATACTATCATATCCTTTTCTTTGTCTCAAATTTCATCAGATCTAACCAAGAAGAATAAATTTCCATCCCTAATTTTTTGTGAATTTGATGCGTTTGTATTGTACGATTGATCAAGATATAAAATGGAAACAAACTCAAATAAAAGCATGTAGCATCCGTATTGAATTATGTAAAGGCTATTGTTGAAAAAAATGGTCTGAGTATTTCTACATCTACAAATAAAATTAGAGCCTAACAGAAACTAAAAATTATTGATTTAATTATTTGTTTAAATGAATTATTTATATTATTTTAATTTTAATATTTTATTATTATTACTTTACCCTTTAACCTTTCTCCGAAACGCGACTAGTTGCAGTTAAGAATGGCAATAGGGCGGGGTGGGTGCGGGAGATATAACCCCCGCCCTCGCACCCGCATTCCCAACCTACTCCCCGCACCTGCACCCGCGCGGGTAATGAAATTCCTACTCCATACCTGTTCCCACGGGGATATTGCGGGTGCGAGTAATACCCAACTGACAACTCTAATTATTTTTTTTAAAGCGGCAACTCTAATTATTAATATTACACTTAAATCTAATAAAAAATTTATACTACAATTATAATTATCACATTGATTTCTTTTATAAGTTTGAACATAACTATAATAAATAAAATTTAATAAGAGCGAATGAAGTTAGTCCTTAATTGGAACTAAAATTGTGTTGGTACTTGGTAGTATAAATTGTATTAAGTGCTTACTCATTATGTTATTTGTGTTGTTTCTATTCAATTTTCATAAACAAAAAACTATGACAAATAGGTGATAATTCAATAGGATCACTAAGGCACTAGCCCATAAAGAAGTTTAATTCATTATGCATTTTTAATTATAAAATATACATAAACTTATATAATAAATGAATACTAATAAAACACACACACACACACACACACACACACACACACACACACACACACACACACACACACACACACACACACACACACACACACACACACACACACACACACACACACACATATATATATATATATATATATATATATATATATATATATACACATAAAAGTGCGGGTGCGCGACGGGGATCCCTCCTCTGCACCTGCCCCATACCCGCACTCATTACTCAAATTGTGCGAGTATTTTTAAACTCGTAAATGCTGGGAGGCGGAGATGCGTGAAACCCATAGAGTGCAGATAAAATTGTCATTTCTAATTGCAGCGTTTCGGTTTCAGTGGTTTAGAGTCAAACCGTTGATTACCATATGTTGTAATCACTATTTTGACTCAGTCAAAACGTTAACTATGGTCAAGTCCGCCAAAAATGGCAAATTAGCTATTATCCAAACAAGCCATAATCAGTGCATTACAAAGCTTTTGGTCACATCATGCCAATAGCATTTGCAAAAACGAGGGGTTTGATGTCCTATATATAGCGCTTCTTGGTGGATGCAGGTGCTCTTGTATGTATACTAATAGTACATACTATTAATTTTAAATTATATTTGAGATAATTTTATTATAGTTTAATTTAACAACAATTAATTTTCCTCCATTATAATGGGGAAATAAATTACTTTTTATAAAGATTACTGATGGATTTAATTACCCGGAATAGTTCGAATTACTAAACTTGATAAGTAACGTAAATAAGAAATGGATAGGTAGAACGATGTCGTAAGGCCGCGAGGATCGTATATTGTATTAAATAACGATAAATAAGTTATTACAACGATTGATTAAGACAATAGTGATGAAGATGTCTCAATAGGACAAAATGAGAGGTATTTATACAAGCCATACCCCATAAAATGACAGGGTCGGTTAGATTCGAGTTGACCGAGCCCAGGGCCCGGGTCTTTCGCTCGACCAGCCGACCCCTTTTGGCCGACCCCTTTCCTGGCCCAACCCCTTATGGGCCAAGCACGGGGCTCAATCTCGAGAGTCCCGGTCTGCTTTACACCTTCTCGCTCCGTTTTTACGAATCGATTTATTTCGATTTTAATATATCCATCAATTACTATTAAGATAATACACCATTAGATCCGCAGGTTAATCATTGCGTACAAACAATCCTAAAGCTGATATACGTTGAAGTCAATCTTGAACTCGATCTATACATTCAATGTAACCTCAACAATTATAATTGTACTTTAATATTGAGAATTTGAGATGGTATGTGTTATTAATATTGTCTTGGTTTATCATTGTACTCTTTTACTTATTAATACTGTGTTACGTAGGGAAATTATTAAAGTTTGGACAAACTTGTAGTATAATACCAATTGGTCCACGTGTAAAGAAACACATCACATGGTTTCAAGATTCTCAATGTTAATGTTGTGGGTTAATTCAGATCCAAAATTCTCTATTAAATTTTTTCCCAGATTAAAGGTATCCACTATCCTGTTTGAAAACAAAGCGATTACACCTAACTGTGCGGTGATCCCAATTTGGCCCTAACTAATCCTAAGTTCACAAAATCTTACCTTTAAAATCACACAAATCGCACAATCAGCTCACTAATTAAATTATACTTTTCATTCTTTCTATAAGGTTGAATTCCCAACCCCAAAGGCCCCTCACACCTCCGACAGAACATCTAAGAAGATGTAAATCATAGTAACTCAACTAAACATCAGAGATCAGACATTTGCTTACTGCGCACAAGGAGCCCCCTCAACTAACTACTTTACTAGAAATCATGTGGTGTCTCATTCCCACCTTTGGTAACAAACAAAATAACACATTTCAATATCGAAAAGAGTGGTAAAATAGATGGAACATGATTCTTGTATTTAAAGATCACGAATTTGATTATTGTCAATGCTATCTTGTTGAGTTCGTGAACAATCTTTTGATTGATCTCGTCACATGTGATCTTTCTAATGTAGTTTACCTCTCTTATATACTTGCAGGTACATTAGTATTTCGTTTACCAAATACTTTATGCTATTGCTATATTTGTACTAAATTCATTGATTATCAATAAGGTAATACCAATTTAGTCATCGACTATAGTAATTTTTCTTAATTTAGTCATAAACGACTTTTTGTGCTTAATTAGGTGATTTAGGTCCTCAACTTGGATGGTTTTACTCAATTAAGTCATCGGCTGTTAGAATCAAAGACTAAATCTGCAAAAACTACTATAGTTGATGACTAAATTGAGTAAAATCACTATAGTCAAAGACTAACTTGAGTAAACTACTATAGTCGAAGATTATCATCAAACTATCTTAACAGATCAGATGCCTCAATTGGATAAAACTATCAAAGTTGATAACTTAATTAAACACATACATTGTTTAAGATTAAATTCAAAAAAACTACTATAATCGAGGATTAAATTGGATATTAACGGGTAAAATCATATATAAAACAATACAAAAATTTATTTAAAACAATATAAAAAAAAAAAAAACACTTTGTCATTTTCCTATAAAAAATAACCAAATTTAGATCCAATTATAGACATAAGATTCAAGTAAAGTCATAACTGGTTCTGGTTGTTGTTTGATGAGGGAGAATAGAGATGGAGTCAAATTAAAGAGGAAAAAGCTCAGCTCATGGCTGTGAGTTAACATCATCTGTACTTACACTGACGCGTCCAAGCATTCACACCCATCCTGTAACGTTTACCCTGCGAAGACCCATTGCTGATTTGCTGTACTCGTCTTCTTCCCAGGCCCCACCGCCCACCTTCTCTCAAATACCTCACCGCCTCTTCACTTTCATCCCTTCCGTTTTCCGGCGACTCTGTAAAAACCCCACCTTAACTTCGACCCAAAGGCCAAAGCTCTCTCCTTTCTTCCTTTTTCTTTTCCGTTTCTTTGGTATGAGGTCTGCAATGGCGGCGGGGACGACCGTCTGGTCAGGTCAGCGGTCGCATCGCTTCGATCGGATTTAGCAGCGGAGGAGAGAGCAATAGCAATAGCAATAGGCAATAGTTTCGTTGCAAATTTGCAATTCCCTCCCCCCCTTTCCAAAAAGTTTTAATCTTTTTTGGATTTTAGTTGATTGGATTCCTGGAATAATCATGGGGGAAGAGAAAGAAGCTATAGCGAGGGAGCTTATTGAGTTGGCGAACGAAATATCGGCCATTTCTGACTTCAAGTCCATGGTGAAGAAGCAGTACTGCAACCTTGCTAGGCGGCTGAAGCTCTTGACTCCAATGTTTGAAGAGATTCGCGATAGCAAAGAGCCCCTCCCTGAAGCCTCCTTGAAAGCCCTGCTCTCTTTGAAGGCTGCTCTCGAATCGGCTAAGGATTTGCTCAAATTTGGCGGGGAAGGCAGCAAGATTTTCCTGGTGAGATGTCTACTTTGATTTTCTCTCTTCATATTTATGAAATTTGTAGGATTCATTATATTATCATTTCTGGTTTAATTGTTTTAGTTCGATGCGGTTTCTTTGAGACTGTAAAGTGGATTTCTTTTGCTCGATCACAAATTGGAGATTAAAACTTGGAAGGCTGCAATCTTTGTTTAGGTTAAATGATATTTGATTCCTTATATGATGATCAAAAGAGCCTATGAAACTGTATTTTTCTTTTTCTTCACCATTCTGGAGGGGCCCTAAAACTCTTCTGAAGCTTAGCTTACACTGATATGGAAAATGTGTTTCGTTTTCAAAATGGTTCCAGATTGCATCTGGAAGGGATTTTCTTTTAAATAATGAAATGGGAATCACAAGATATGGGATTTGTAAATATGTGGAAGTTTAAGGAGGATAGAATTGGGAGATGAGTGAAAAAGCAATCAGTCTAGAAGTTTATAACATCTTCTGCTTTTTCGAGATCTTTTATGTATCTATCAATTATGGAAGTTGTTACAGCTAAGATCTTTGAGGTTACAACTTTGTTAACATTCCATCTTTAGGTAGATGTTTTCTTGCCTTGTAGTTGTTCGTATATAGCATTTTCATAAGTTCTGAAAATTGCTTCAGTTTGGTAGCGTCAATCTATGAAATGACCGGTCCATTTCTATTGGGTTTATTGTAAACTAGAAAAGATTGTATTAACTTCTTTTTTATTTGCAGGTGTTAGAAAGGGATCAAATTACAAATCAATTTCAAGAAGTGACCAATCAGTTGGAACAAGCTTTGGGTGAAATTTCATATGAAAAGCTTGACATATCTGACGAAGTTAAAGAACAGGTTGGTATCATACTAGGTTTGGTCTTTTTGTTTTTGGTGACTTTTACCTTTTCTGGAACAAACATAACGTATTGAAGTCAATGTTAGTTATCAACCATTGACATGCTTTTATTTCCAGGTTGAGCTTGTTCTTTCGCAGTTCAGAAGGGCGAAAGCGAGAGCTGATACACCTGATGATGAACTTTATGAAGATGTGTTATCCCTTTACAACGGTAATAGTGATACTGCTGTGGATCCGGGTGTCTTAAGGAGATTGGTTGAAAAGTTGCAACTAGCTGGAATAAATGACCTCACGCAAGAATCTCTAGCTTTGCACGAGATGGTTGCTGCTACTGGTGGGGATCCGGAGGAGACCATAGAAAAGATGTCGATGCTATTAAGGAGGATTAAAGATTTTGTGCAGACTGAAAATCCCGACATTATTTCCTCTGCAAAAGAAGTGTCTTCAAGTTGTGGGCAGGCGTCGTCTACAGAGGGAGAGAGCCACAAGACCCCCGTAATACCAGACGATTTCCGTTGTCCTATATCGCTGGAGCTGATGAGAGATCCAGTCATTGTTGCAACAGGACAGGTACGATATGATAGCCGATTCATCGTTTTATGTTTTTGGATTGAAATTAGTGTTCATCTTTATGTAATTTCTCTTGTTCAAGTACAAAATTTAAACCAATAGGTTAAAAGGTTGCACCAAATTGTTGGCTACGGAGTAGATGTTTTCTTGCCACAATTTGGCACACAGGAACCAACTGAGCTACCCGTGCAGGCAGGAGTAGATGTTTTGTGTTATATTAACTTGTGTCCATGCCAAACACTTTGTGGTCAGATGTCACCTCTGTGGCTCCCCTTGAGGGAAGTTCACAGGATCGAATCCAGGTGGTGGGGTATTGACTCCTTGGGCTGCATTAGTTAGAGAAAATATAGAACAGATACTACCTTGTAAGTCATTTCGCCCCGTTGCATCTAACAGGTTACAATTTATTTATTTGTACTGCAGACGTATGAACGTTCTTGCATCGAGAAATGGCTGGAAGCAGGACATACAACTTGCCCAAAGACGCAACAGCCGCTCACTAGCAATACCCTCACTCCCAACTATGTTTTACGAAGCCTTATAAATCAATGGTGCGAGGCAAATGGGGTTGAGCCGCCGAAACGAGCTGGTAGTTCTCAGTCCTGTCAGACGACGTCTGCTTGCTCACCTGCTGAGGGGTCCAAGATTGAAACTCTAATCTCTAAGCTAAGATCTGTCCACCCCGAAGATCAACGAACTGCTGCGGGTGAAATCCGCCTTCTTGCTAAGCGCAATGCGGACAATCGTATAGCAATAGCTGAAGCCGGTGCCATTCCTCTGCTGGTAAACCTTTTATCCACGCCCGATTCCCGCACTCAAGAACATGCGGTTACAGCGCTACTTAACCTCTCGATATGCGAGGACAATAAAGGAGCCATCATAGCTTCTGGGGCAGTGCCCGGGATTGTCCATGTGCTCAAGAAGGGAGGCATGGAAGCTCGGGAAAACGCAGCTGCCACTCTTTTTAGCCTCTCGGTTGTGGACGAAAACAAGATCATAATCGGGGGTTCTGGGGCAATCTCTCCCCTCGTAACGCTCCTAAACGAGGGTAGCCAACGAGGAAAGAAAGACGCTGCAACTGCACTCTTCAACCTCTGCATATATCAAGGCAACAAGGGCAAGGCAGTAAGGGCGGGGGTCGTGCCAACGCTAATGCAGCTGTTAACCGAGCCACAAGGCAACATGGTGGACGAGGCATTAGCAATACTGGCAATATTGGCTAGTCATCCTGAAGGGAAGGTAGCCATTGGAGGCGCAAAAGCTGTGGCAGTTCTGGTGGGCGTCATAGCCAACGGGTCCCCAAGGAACAAAGAAAACGCAGCTGCAGTTCTGGTTCACCTCTGCTCCGGAGAACAACACGTAGTAGAAGCTCAAGAACTAGGAATAATGGGACCTCTGCTTGATTTAGCCCAGAACGGCACCGAAAGAGGACGCCGAAAAGCCGCCCAGTTACTAGAGAAGATAAACAGATTTGCTGAGCAGCAAACCCAGGCCCAGACAGAGACTCCTGCTCAAACTGAGAACCAGTTGCAGTCACCGGCCACCGTGGACGGTTGAGATGGATCTTTTGTTGTTTCTGTATTCTAGAGGATGGAGGTGGAAGATCACCTCATCTTCTACATTTACCCATATTTTTTTAATCCTGTGTTGAAGGTGTATACATCCATGAAAGAGTTATTTCCAATTGGGGAACCAATTCCACGTTTGGTTCCTTTCTATTAAAATTTTCAGATTTGGTTCTACAATTTCTAAAATTTTGTCATTGAGGGAAACAGATTCCGAATCCTCAACAATACGCATCATATCCCTCTCATGAAAGAAACGATCGAAATAGATACAAGTGCGGCTCCCTAACAGGCCTCCACACAACACCCATTGTATCCCTAGAAAACAATAACATCTTTTAGATATGAGATTCCTAAAAACCTATAATATATATGAAACACAATTCAAACTTGAGACCTCTCATATAGAAAGTATGTATAAACAGATATTACATTGTAACTAGTATTTTCGCCCGTGCAATGTACGGAATAAATTTGTTATAATATATTAAAAATATTTGGATTGATATATAATTATTTAAATTAGAACATCAAATATTATATAGTACAATTGAAGATATGATTTGTAGTATTTATGTGTTTTGATGTTATTCATTGTTTGAATTTGAACAAATAATTGCTCAAATTAATAGCTAATGTGTAGATGTACGCATACGGTGTTGTAACTTTGGAGATTTTATTTATCATTGTTTAGTATTTTTTTTATATATAAATTAGGCAAATGTGTTCGTTCTCTAGCAACTCAGTTATAAGAATGAATTGCTATCTTAATTCATTTGTATGGAGTATATATTTTTTTGTCTAGATATATAGTAATTTTGTCATTTAAAAAAACATAATATCAACGATTGTATTTACACATTATTGAAACTTCTTTGTAGACGACATTGGTAGTAGCAACGCAATCTTGTCCATCATCGTATAGAGCTAACACCTTCAGTCCATTAGGATAGGTGACTCGGATGAAAATATTTAATGGTAGAGTATAAGTAAATTAGCGATCCTTTTATATTTTAAGTCAATTAGTAATATCAAATTCATTTTTAGCAAATTATTCTTTTTATATTTTTAGTCAATTAGAATGTCATATGCAGTGATATTTTTACCTAATTTTCGTTCCATTTGATTTAATTGATGATGTATAATATTATTATTGAAATATTTCTGTTATATTTTTAATTTATCTTGGAATAAGGGTCAAATATGCCACTGAACTCCACATCAAACTATAATTAGGCCATCGAACTCAAAAAAGATGCAATTAGGTCCCTGAACTACACAAATTTATGCAATTAGGTCTAAATTGACTTGTTTACCTGCCATGTAGGTTTTAGATTTTAAAAATAATTTTAAACAAAAAAAATTAATTAAAAAAAAAAAAGAACGGCCGGGATTTCTAACTACTCTAACTCACTTCTTATTGACATTTAGTAATTTTTTTTATACTAATACTAAAACTTGTACTATATATACACATATAAATACATAGACTATATATGGGGTGGGGGTGGGATGGGGGGGCAGCTGCCCCCCTGCCCCCCCTTTGGCTCCGTCACTGATGAAGATAAGATAGTACGATGTAGGTTGATTATTTATAATATATCTGAAAGTAAAATTTGAGCTCTAAAATTATATAGAGCACTCTTTGATCCTAAATTAATAAATAATTAATTATATACACATTTAGCAGTACCAATGTTATTACTAAAATTTCCAAAAATTTGAAAGGAATCCAAAGTTCATTACTTTCACATATGCAGTCTAAAATTTCTAGAAATTGAAGGGAATCCGAAGTTCATTATGGGAAAAGGGAAGACAATACCGCATACCATTTTAGTATTCTTTTTAATCAATTTGACATAATTGATCTCATATCTAAAAGATTTTTTTTTTTTTTTTAATGTCTGATTTCAAATAATAATAATAATAATAATAATAATAATAATAATAATAATAATAATAATAATAATAAGGGAAAATGGCACTTTTTACCCCTGAGTTATATACTTATAGCACTTTTTCCCCCTCAATTATTTAGGTAAGCACATTAGCCCCCTCAATTATTCTAAAAGTGGTGCCTTTTCCCCCTAATATATTAAATTGACATTTATACCCTTAAAGTAAACATTTTATTTATTTTATTACTCCAACAAATTATTGCGTATACGTAGGGATGACCACGGTTCGGTTTGAATTGAATCGGATACTAAAGCAATCGAATTAATAGTTTACGGTTATAATTCAGATCTAGAACCCAATATTTAAATGTCAATTTATTAAAATTATGTATCAAAAAAATTGAATCTTGAACCGTGAACCGACGGTTCCGGATTTGATTCGCGATTTTGAACCGTCTTTATTTTAAAATTTTATTTTTTATTTTAAAATAGTCTAAATTCAACAATAAATGTATTTTATTTTTTCAGTTCGGAACATGAACCGTCCGTTCCGGTTCACGATTTTTATAAACTCTAAATATCGAATTTGGATTCTAAATTGTAATTGGAATATTTCGATTTGGTTGCTATAGTGTTTGTTTAGTTTGAACCAAATGGTCATAATTTGTTGGAAAAAAAAATAAATTAAATATTTAGTTTAAGGGTAAATATGTCCATTTAACATTTCAGGGGGAAAAACAGCCACTTCAATAATTTAGGGGGAAAAAACGCTATAAGTATATAACTCAGGGGAAAAAAGTGCTATTTTCCCTAATAATAATAATAAAATTGTTTCCAATTTATAGAGCACAAATGAGTAAATATTTTTAGAGAATGTAAAAATAAAGAGAAATCAGTGATAATATATCAATATTAAATTATTAGTGAACCCAATAGGGTAGCTCAAGTGGCAAATGAACTCTTTTTGTGGGAGAGAATTTCAGGATAATCCGGTGACGATTTCCTTTGGGTCAGCTTTTGTGCCTCTCGGAGCGAACCAGGTGAACCTGGACCGTTAAACGGACAGAGAAAGACCCGGACCACATTGTGGTTTAAATAAAAAAAATATATTAAATTAGTAGTAACAAATTAAGTTTGACACGGATAGGCAAAATAAGTCTAGTAAAATGAGAAATTAATGAAAGCTAATTCAACATAAAAATATTATTAACAAAACAAGTGTCACAGTACTTAATGTAACTAATGAATAAACTCTATCTATTAACTCAATAGAATAAAATAAAATTATATTTTGTCATCAAATAATCATAACCTTTAATTAACTGAAATTGTGTATCTTTGAAGTTCAAACTCTGAATCATGCAATTGTCATCCACCGTACCAATATTGGGCCACTTATCAGAGAGCTTCCTCAGTGCAGACTTAACAGACTTAACAAAGGAAGGTTAGTATGTCTCTTTTATCGCTTTTCTTTCTTGAACAAGCTGAGATCGAAATTATGCTGTTATAGAGTTCAATCTACTGTGTATCTATAATGGTGATAACAGGTACCTTAACCGTGATGTTCTGATATACACACTCACTAGTGAAATGGACCGACAAAGGCTCAAGGAATTTCGTAGCTATCAACGCATGCGTTCCAGGGTGGAACGCATGATAATATTGTAGTTGTAAGTACATTTATATTTTTTTCTTCAGTTTTATACTTATATTTACAGTTAAACAAAATAATAATGCATGTTATGCTTGCAGGTTTGTGGAGTCAGCATTGGACCAGATCGGATTGTTACGGAGGACATGGGAGGGATTTTCTTCAAAAGTTTTTTGATGATCCTGACAAAATGTTGAGTTTAGAAACTGCATTGAGTTTTGCCCCTGATCGGATTCTTCTTGTTATGGAGGACATGGGGAGAGATTCTCTTCTAGAGCTTTTTGATGATCCTGACAAAATGTTGAGTTTAGAAACTGCATTGAGTTTTGCCCTCAACATAACTAAAGCAATGGAGCACTTTTCTTCCTTTGGAACAGTTTACCACTGTCTTAGACCAGATTACAAGAGTGTATATCTAAGTATACTCTAATCACTTATATCTAATAGGATATTAACAGTAGACTTATTCTAACACCATACAAGCTAACTATAGGTTATACAAGAATAGTCATAATAATAATAATAATAATAATAATAATAATAATAATACTCACAAACAAGATCCGCAGTTATGGGAAACATATAGCTGAGAATAAAGGTAAATGAATACCTATCTACTATGTACTTAGTTCATTGATTGATGGGTTTAAATATATAGTAACCAACTAATCATGCTTTCTATTTTTTTTTCTTTTAAAGTACTATGAAGAAATTCCAATATGAGAGAGGAGAGAGGAGAGAGGATGGATCGTTTAGGCTCTGATACCAATTGAGAATTCAAATTTCAATACAGTTACAACAACCAGATTACAAGAGTGTATACTCCTTCATTGATGGATGTGTTTAAATATATAGTAAACAACTAACCATACTTTTCTTTTTCTTTTTCTTTTAAAGTACTATGAAGAAATTCCAATATGAGAGAGGAGAGAGGATGGATCGTTTAGGCTCTGATACCAGATGAGAATTCAAATTCCAAGCTCTGATACCAAATGAGAATTCAAATTCCAATACAGTTACAACAACCAGATTAAAAGAGTGTGAGAGAGGAGAGAGGATGGATCGTTTAGGCTCTGATACCAGATGAGAATTCAAATTCCAAGCTCTAATACCAGATTAGAATTCAAATTCCAATACAGTTACAACAACCAGATTAAAAGAGTGTATATCTGAGCATACTTCTAATCACTCCTATCTAATATGATACTAACGATAGACTTATTCTAACACCATACAAGCTAACTATAGGTTATACAAGAATAATCATAATAATAATAATACTCAGGGGGCGTTTGGTTCACGGAATCTTGGATTACCTAGGTCATCTGAGTCTGGTAATGTTATATTACCTTGTTTGGTTCAAGTTATGAGATTACCAGGTAATGTTATATTACCTGAAAGCTGATGTGGCGGTAATGTTTCAAGGTAATGTGATTACCCCCATTTTTTTAGGTAATCTTAGATTACCTTGAATTATTCCAACTTTGCCATTGTTAACTAATAATAATAATAATAATAATAATAATAATAATAATAATAATAATAATAATAATAATAATAATGAAATTAA